GCGCCTTCGCGTGTGTCCCCCCCCCGCGCCCAGCCCATCGGGTGAGGCAGGCCGCGCGCTGATGCCGGGCCCGCTTGGAGCCGCTCCCCTGGTGCTGGGCTCTCCGCGCCCGGCAGGGAGCGAGCCAGGCCGGCCGCCGGCCCACGCCGGGCTGCGCGGATCTGCTGCAGATAAAACACGGAGCCCAAGGCAAGCGGGGGGCAGGCCGGGCCCCTCCGCGCCGTTACCGGTCTGGGCTGCCCTAGGAGAGCCGCACTGGTAGAGCAAACGGGGGAGGAGGCTCGAGTGCTGCTGTGTTACCCCTGGGAACTCTAGCAGGCAACCCAGAGTAAGCTGGGCCGGGGTAGGGACATCAGGACTACCGAGGCTGAATCCTGATGGCGGAGGGTGTCGCTTTTATTACACCAGCATAATTAAGGGTTTGTCTGCACTTGCACTCGATTGACTCAGCTTTGGTTTTATTAACAATGTTACATCTGCATCTGTGTTTAACTTAAACCCTGCACCTTGGGAATGACAAAGTTTTGCTGCAGCAAGTGAAAGAGCGAACGCTACTTTGTCAGTAGGAAAAGCACTCTCTTGCCGACAAAGCGGGGTGGGAGTATTTTGTCATCAGAAGTGTTGACATACAGCATTCACACACACTTTCTTTTAGCAACAGCTGTTTTGACACAGCTTCCTCCCTAAAAGCTGCATAGTGTAGACCTATCTTCAAGCAGCAAAACAGTCTAATGTAGCTAATCCCTTCATTAGGTGGCATTTTAAAGAGGAATATCTCTGTAATTCACTTCAGACTCATGGCTGCAATGCCAAAGCCTGCAGGGACAAAACTGTGGATGACAGTGCATTTCCGGTGTATGGATCAGGGACATAAAAAATTGTTTAAAAATGTAACTGTGAAAATGTAATGTAGCTGGAACAGCCCCTTCCTGCAGTGGGCCCTCTGGGACTGGAGCAACTCCCTGCCCTGTAAGCCTCACTCATTATCCAGTTAACCAGTTACATCCCAAGTATGGATAAACTCAGATTCAAGTTCTCTCTCCTCTAGGTACTTTGCAGATACATAAGAAATTACAACCTTTCCCTCAAAAACTTTATCTTGAACGAGACCTTAGAAATTGTTGTTTACAGAAACCAGTATGTAAAGAGAGATGGGGACAATTGAGTTCATTTGACAGCCTTAGTCTCATATTTAAAAGAACTCGAGAACCATAAAAATGAGTGGCGCTCTTTTAAACGGGTTTAATTTGTCTAATATATATATTTTTTTTAGAATGGGAAATAATCCATCGACAGTGGGATTATCTAATTCTGCTACTGTGAACAAGATCCAGGTAAATAAAGGAGTAATTTATTATTCAGAAAGATTTATTATTTCTAGCTTTGAAAAAGGGAGTAATTTACTATCTTTTTTTCTAATTAGTACAAGGATTGTTTTTTTTATCACACCAGCCTATAGAATCTGATCTGTAATCTTAGTTCTGTAAAGCATAAATTATGTTTTTGAGCTCCACTTCTGCAGTCTAATGCATGTGGGCAGACCCTTATTCTTTCTCATCCAAATCCTACTTTCCTTGCCCAGCCAGTCGGTTTCCCCTCCAGTTCTTTGTACTAGTCTTCTTGCAAGTCATGCTTCAGAGGTTATAAGGCCAGAAGGGGCCATTGTGATCATTTTTATGCAGATCATTCTAATTGGTCATACAGCATCCCTGAATTAAATTCTTATTTGAACTTTTAGAATGGTATCTATTGATGGAGAAAGTACCACAGCCCTTGTTAAATTGTTTCAGTGGTGGTTAATTACTCTCACTGTTAAAATGTATGCTGTACAGCAGTAAAATAACACTGCTACTCCTATTCCTTTGTTTATACATCCAATAATTATATTAGCCCTTTTGGCGAGGGTGTCTCACTATGAGCTTGTGTTGAGCCGTTTATCCACCTCCACTACCATGAGTTCCCCAAGTCTTTTTCAGACTCGCTGCTTCTCAGGATAGAGCCCCACATGCTGTAGGCATAGCCTGCCCTACATTCTTTGTTCCCAGGTGCAAACTTCATATTTGGCCATTTCAGAATACACATTGTTTGCTTTTGCCCAGCTTACAGAGCAGTCATGATCACTCTTAACCAGAGATCTATCCTCTTCCTTATTTACCACTTCTCCAGTCTTTGTGTGTCTTTCAAATTTGCTCAGTAATGATCTTTTATTTTCTTCTAGTTCATTAATAAAAAGGTTAAATGGCATAGGTCAGTGGTTCTCAAACTGGGGTCCGCAGACCACTTAAGGTCCGTGGACATCTTGCAAGTAGTCTGTGGCTCAAGTTTAGTCCCCTATCTCTCCCCACCACAGCGGGGAGCCAGCACTTGTGTTCCGGCCTGCACCACCCACTCCCTGCAGCCAAGGGGAGCAGTGGGAGGCCATGCCTGGGAGGGGTGTGGGACACAAAAGCAAGTGCCCCCCCTTCTTGTGCCAAGACCCTGCACACTCACTGCTTTCACGCACTGCCCCCAGTTGAGACCCTAGCCCACTCCTGAACCCTCCCTCCTGGCCAGACACCCTAACCAAACCTGCTCCTATGCCCTCCCTTGCTCCTGAATCCTCCCCTCAGCCAGACTCCCTACTCCCAGACTGCTCCTGCATCCCTCCTCCTGCCCAGATCCTGCACCCATCCCACTCTCTGGCAATCCTTTCCCACACCTTGAACCCCTTATTTTTGGTCCCACCCCAGAGCCTAGAGGAGTGCACAAAAATCCACTATCTCCAGAAGAGTTCATCTGGGCTCAGTCGTCCCTGCCTCTTCTTGGCCCCCCTCCACCCATGGGGCTGGGGCTGTGTGGGAGTGAGGAGTCTCAGTTAGGGGTCACGTCAGTCAGGGCTGGGGGCTTTGGAGGTGGTCTTTGTTTTGTTTTGTGTTTTTTGGGGGGAGAGGGGTTTGCTTTTCACATGTGTAGTCCCTGACTAATTTTTCTGGGGATCCGTGGCTCCTGGCCCAAAAATAGTGCCCTACCTCTGCCATAAAAAAGACAATATTTAAACCTTTTGTATTGAACATAAATTAATATTTTACTTCATTTTAAATAAAGTTTGGTAAGCTAACATGAGAAAGTTAAAGCCCTTACTCTGTTTAATAATTTCTATTACTATTTCCTATCTTAACTGGTTAAATTGAACCATCCTCCTTAGCTGCAGCTCTAGCAGAATGGCTTGGGAGTAATTATATAATTAATGGCGCGTTTCTGTTATCAGCAAGGCATGTATTGAGCTGAGTGGGCCACAGGCCAAAAAGCTTGAGAACCACTGGCATAGGACAAGAACTAATCCTCGCAAGACCCCACTGGAAACACCTACTTAATAACTTTGGGTATTTGTTACTGTCATGAAAAGATAAAACATATTGCTTTTGTCTCAGTCATTGTCTTTAAGAATGTGTTAGATACTAATTATCTGAATGAATTTATGTGCAGAACACATTGACTCAGACTTTTTTTAAAAAAATGCAGGAAACCATTTCGGACAACTGTGTAGTGATTTTCTCTAAAACAACGTGTGCCTATTGCAAAATGGCAAAGAAACTGTTCCAGGATATGAATGTAAATTACACAGCAATAGAACTAGACATGTATGAAAATGGAAGCCAGTTTCAAGACATTCTTCATCAAATGACGGGTGGCAGAACGGTGAGTACATCATCTTAGATGTTGTGACTAAAATAGAGAGGGGGACAATTGGCTTGTAGTAAGATCCCCGTATTGTGACCTCATCAGATTGTAGCAGCACTGAAACTTTTATGTGAGCTCCTAATTAAAACATAAGGTGCTTCAGGCAGCAGTAGCAAAGATCCTGTATGGTATCCTTGCTTCCTCATGTTACTAGTACATGCTGCTCCAGAGTGATGACAGTAATTATACTGCTGATCGTGCTGTTTTTCAGATGAGTCTTTTAAAAAAAGGCCATATCAAAAACATAAAACTGAAATCCAGCAGGGACACTTTGTTTGGGTAGAAGTGTTTTAGTCCCAGTGTCCTAGCAACTTTGTAATAATTCACTGTAACTTCATGTGAATCAGTGTGTTTTCACTCAGGTCCCTACCTGGTGGAGAGGTGTGAAGGATGCAAACGCACCTCCTGTGCTCCCCCAAGCTGACCCAGCTGAGCTGCACACCGGTTCCCTGCCCCCCCGGCAGCTCAGCTGAGCTTAGGGTTGCCAGGTGTCCGGTTTTGTCCTGGACAGTCTGGTATTTGCAGCCTCTGTCCAGTAAAAAAAAACAACAAAAAACAAAAAAACCCAAGAAAATATTTTCTGTTTTTCTCGGACAGATGGCCTCTTGGGACATTCTTTCCCTGCCTAATCTAGGGTGGAGCAGGGTGACTTAAAGGGGTAGTCATTTGTTTTGTTCAACAACTTTGGTCCCCTGTTTTCATTTTTTTTTCCTCAACAAGTTTGATCTCCCCCCTTTTTTTTGGTCAACAACTTTGTTCCTGTCTCCCCCTCCCCCTCTTTTTTTTTTTGCTCAACCAATACCCACCATGTTCGGTATTTTTTTGTGAAAAGCCCCACTTCACATCCTGAACACGTTTGGTTCCCAAACCTGAAGTGGGAGAGAAGGTTGATTTGAACCGAAGAAATCTGAGAGGGTTGTTTTTTTTTTTTTTTTTCAAAATTTGAATAAAAATGTTTGAGTAAACCAGCAATAATTTTCTTCAAGTTTTTCATTTTCTTCTAGTCATTTTGGGTATATTTCCCCTGGGCATGCAAGTGTGTATTTTAATTTGGTCAAATTTCAATAAAGAAAATAAGTTCTGCTACAATCCAAACTTTTCCAGAGCCTACTGTTATTTAGAAGTCTTTTCACACTTGAACAGTAATACTAACTTTACTGTAGCAAATTATGTAAAAATAGCTTTGTAACCAAAATGGCAAACATTTTATTGTTTCTCTTTAATACTTTTTACATGACTTTCAGAATTCCCCTTACTATGAAATGCTGCAGAATATTCGTTTAAAAATACTGATGGGCAGGGCTCGCTGAGCCGCAGCGAGCCCTGCTTGCCAGCCGCCTGTCTGGCGTTCTGCGCATGCACAGATCGCCCAAACCCAGCTCTTCTGGGTTGTAATCTACTCGCCACGGGGGAGTAGATTACATAGATTGTCAAGCCCTGCTGATGGGGATAAAACCTGCATTGAGCTATGGAGTTTCGTGGTCTCATTCCTTAGCTGTAGTCAAGATCAAATGGCCAAAAAGTCATTTTGATCTAATGATTGTTCAGTCATGCACTCTTGTGGAATGTGATGGTGGTCTCAATTCACTTCCCAGTGGACATCTCTACATCAAACATGCAACTATATATTTCCATTTTGTACATACCACATGAACCTCCTCTCATGAGTCAGAGGGTTGTATTTTAAATGGTCTACCTTCACAAGAAACAAGTACAGGCAGTCCCCGGGTTACAACCGGGGTGAGGCACCCCCGCACTAGCTACTTCCCCCCAGCAGACTAGGGAGATGCGAAGCTAGCGCGTCCCCCTCCCCCCGCCCAGCAGACCAGGGAGAGGTGGAGCGGCTTTTCTCAGCAGACACCTCAGCTTGAGAATAAAGCCTGAGGGAAGTGAGGTGTGGGAGAATAAAACTGAGCTCTGGAGAAATGTTTGGCTAGAGTTTCCCCTACAATATGTACCAGTTCCGACTTACATACAAATTCAACTTAAGAACAAACCTACAGTCCCTATCTTGTACGTAACCCGGGGACTGCCTGTATAGGAAAGTTCTTTTCTTGAATAGAGTTAATAGGTGAAAGAGTACTTTGTATCCTATGTCAGGCACTGCCAATTGGTACCAGTTTGGAGGAAGTGGGTTAGTAGTTTCCAATTGGCTATTTTCAAACAAAAGAAATGAATAGCAATGAACTTATGGAACTTCCACACTGATTACCTCAGAGCTCCAATCCGCTCTAAACACTGTCATGGAGACACAAGCCACATTATCCTAAATTGGCAACTAATGTCACCAAGATAAAATAGTTAATCATGCATAGAATAGTGACAAGCCATAACTTTGCTGCAACAAAGATTGGAATATTTTTAATATTATTTTTCACTTACGATATTACAGCAAGATCACAGAAGGTAATTTATATAAAACCATTATTACTGTATAAACTTTTAGTATGTTATAACAAAATCATCTTACCAATCACTATTTCCACTCAAATTTTTCATTAACCTCTCTTATGCATACTCACTGCATGACTATTTTGAACTCCTTTATATATAAAAAATTGCAGTCCACTTTTACAAAAAAAGCATGCACCCCCAGAAATTTCTGCATACGAGTCTGTTCTAAACCCATGTTAAAATTATACTTTTAAAGAGAAAGTGCAGTGATGTCTAGGTATATAATATAAAGTATCTCAGGATCCCTTTTATAGAAAATTTTCAGATACGCAGCCATGTTGAAACATGTCTGTTTTAGCAAAAACAACAAGGAGTCTGTGGCACTTTAAAGATTAATAAATAGGGATGTGAATGGACAACTGGGGAACTGATTACCTGGTAAACATCACCCTTAACTGGTTCACTGGGAACGGCCCCCCTGCCTGCAGCCTCGGGTTAGGAACAGGGCCAGGACCCAGCATCAGCTCCAGCATGGCATCCCGCCCAGGATCCGGAATAGTTGGTAAACCTAACATTAACCAGTTAACTGATTAATTTGGATTTTACACCCCTACTAACAAGTTTAATAGGGTGTTAGAGCATATGCTTTCATGAGCTACAACTTACTTCCTCAGTTGCTAAAGAGAAGAAAGAGAAAAAGAAAGGAAAAAAAAGATAGAGATGGAACTGTGACATTTAAATAAACTGTGTCAATTAAATGAAAATGGATGTAGTTCATCTCCAACAATGAGATGAGAATACCTTAACGGGAAATTGCCTTTTGTAATGGGGGAATCACTCCATGTATTTATTTAGATCTTGGTTCAGAGTATCAAATTTGCATATGAATCCCAGCACAGTGCTTTCTCTTTGAAGTCTGTTTCTGAAGTTTTTCTGTCTGAGAATGGCAACTTGTAAGTCCGAAACTGTGCGCTCCTAGTGTGGTTAAAATCCTCCCCCACTGGCTTTTGGATGTTGCCATTTTTAATGTCTGATTTGTGTCCCTTTATGCTTTTGTGCAGAGACAGTCTGGTTTGTCCAGTATACATGGCAGAGGGGAATGTGATGGCATATATTACATTAGTCAGTGTGCACATGAATGAGACTTTGATGGCAGATTTGGTTAGGTCCTGTGATAGTGTCACTAGGGTAGACATGTGGACAGAGTTGGCAACAGGGTTTGTTGCAGGAATAGGTTCCTGGATTAGTGTTTCTGTTATAGGTGAGAAGTTGGTGGTATCATCTGTACCTGCATGACCCCACAGTATGCCAACATTTTATGGCTGACTTAGAATGCTTCCTTAGCTCCCGTCCCCAAGTGCCCCTCCTCTACTTATACTACATCAATGACATCTCAGTCTGGAAACAGAGCATCTACTTCTTGGACACTATAGTACAAATAACTAAGGGTCACATAAATACCATTCTATACTAGAAACTAGTGACCTTTATACTTACTTGCATGCATGCCTCCAGCTTTCATCCAAAACATAACACACATCGACAACCAAGCCCTAAGATACAACTGCACGTGCTCCAAACCCTCAGACAGAGACAAACACCTACAATCTCTATCAGGCCTTCTTAAAACTACAATACCCACCTGGAGAAGTGAAGAAACAGCATCCGAGGAAATGAGCTGTAGCTCAAGAAAGCTTATGTTCTAGTACCCTAATAAATTTTTTAGTCTTTGAAGTGCCACCAGACTTCTTGTTGCTTTTATAGAAACTTACTAAGGAAATTTAAAACTGTCCAATAATATGGTAAGTAAAAGCTTAGCATTCGCAGGTATATACATATGGCAGTGTGGCAGCATGCATGACCGCGCTTGGTTTATCCTACTTTCATGAAATAACTAATGTAATTTTCATATACTTAACAGGTTCCAAGAGTGTTTATTAATGGGGCTTTCATCGGAGGTGCTACAGATACTCAAAGGCTTCACCAGGAAGGCAAGCTGCTTCCATTAGTTCATCAATGTCAAATGAGAAGAGCAAAACATTCTGATTTTCCATGTAGCCTACCTTAGCCTTAGTTAAAAAAGTGCCCCTAATCTAGATGTTAGATATCTAAAATTCATCTTTTAGGGTTCTTAATAAATGGTCTTGCTTTCAGAGGTGCTGAGAAACCAGAAAGTCTAAAATTAAATAATTTATTTGAAATCTAACTATGGATTTTGGTGCCAATTGTTAAGCACCCAAACTTGAAAATTTAGGCCTTTATGTGCAGCATGGTCTTCTAAACTAATCAGGACTTGGGTGCAAGTAACTCAGTTTGAAATAATTTATGTAACACAGACATTACAGCCTTGTTAAATACTTAGCTCCTCTCCTCACATCAATTTCACCCTGTTGATAAAATTGAAGTAAAAACAATTACTTACAGAGTTTTTGTGTGGTTTAGCTACTTCTCCAAAGCACTGTAACAAAAATATTAAAGGGCGATGCATGTTTTAAACATGCTAAAAAGTGCTACACAAGGTTCTGTGAAATAGGTGACAACTTGTGAGAACTTGCAATGCTATTTATCTCCAAAACCTTGTAGTATCCTATTGACTGTAATGTGTGGTGTTTTGTTATACTTTCTAGCTAATTTTATTGTAATTGTGGTGGAACAAAAGATGGCAATGTATTTTAGTGTTTCCTATAAAATGAAGTCAGTGCTAAAGATTTTCTTCTCTTTATGTCAAATTATGTACACTGAAGACACTAAAAAGACCAACTTAATGTTTATATTCATATAAAGCCTACCGTTACTGAGACTTAAATTACATTTATGTAAGAGTTTAAGTTCTTCCGTTATTAAAGGCAGTATCACAGTCAGCTACAGTAGTTGAGTTGTTCATACAGTTCTGTATACACTCTCAAGTAACAGTTGGAATTTAAAAAAATACAATGTTAAGTTCTAAATCATTTTGAGACACTTATCAATCAGTCTGTTCTGTTTCAATAATGTAGTTAAGTAGTTTCAGGTTCTACACTTACTGCTGACTCAGCTGCCAATTTTTGCAGTTTTACAATTATTCTCTGCTGTTTTTAAATGTGATGAAGGTCCAACATACATTCGCCTCATCAACATATGGGCTAGAAACTTTTTAAAAATCTGAAAATAAAAGTGCCAGGGAAAGCTTAAAAGAAGGTTTTAAGTCATGAGTTAAGTTTTGGCTGTTAGGCTACGTCTACACTGTTAAGTAAACTGTTATGCTACGTCTACACTGGCACCCTTTTCCGGAAATGCTTAAAACGGAACAGTTTTCCGTTATAAGTATTTCCGGAAAAAGCGTGTCTACATTGGCAGGATGCTTTTCCGGAAAAGCACTTTTCCCGGAAAAGCGTCCGTGGCCAATGTAGACGCGCTTTTCCGGAAAAAGCCCCGATCGTCATTTTCGCGATCAGGGCCTTTTTGCAGAAAAGACTACTGTGCTGTCTACACTGGCCCTTTTCCGGAACAGTTTTTCCGGAAAAGGACTTTTGCCTGAACGGGAGCAGCATAGTTTTTCCGGAAAAACACTGACAATTTTACAGTAGATCGTCATTGCTTTTCCAGAAAAGCAAGCGGCCAGTGTAGACAGCTCACAGCTTATTCCGGAAAAGCAGCCGGCTTTTATTCCCTTATTCCTACTTTCAATAAGGGATCCTCCGGAAAAGGGCTTATTTTCTGGAAAATCACGTCTACACTGGCGCTTTTCTCCGGCAAAAACCCCGAGCCGGAAAAAAGCGGCAGCCATGTAAATGCAAATACCGCAGGGGATATTTAAATCCCCCGTGGATTTGCAATTCTGAAGTGTCTCATTAGCATCCCTTTTCCGGAAAGGGATGCCAATGTAGACACAACCGACATGTCTGGTCGGAGAAGAACTATACCTACAGTAAGAACTAGGGTGAGAACTTATTATTTGTAACAAATTCTCTTAGGGCATGTCTACACAACCAAGTTTTGTCACTCCAAACTGCCTCTTGGCGACACAACTGTGGAAGTGAATACACTGTAACACAAGTTATGTCATTAAAACACCCAGGCTACATCTACACTGCAGGCTTCTTGCGCAAGAAGCTTTCTGCGGAAGAGATCTTCCACAAAAACTTCTTTTGCAGTGTGGACTCTCTCTTGCGCAAGTGCATCAGAAAAGCAATGCACTTTTACACAAGAGAGCATCCAGACTGCATGGACGCTCTTGCAAGAAAGCTCTTGATTGCCATTAACAGAATGGCCACCAGGGCACCTGTGCTTCTTTCGATAGGCTGTTTTTTTGGGGAAAAAAACCCTTGTTTCCAGTCCCCACACACCTTTTTTCGCAAGAGCTGAATGCAGGCTAAGTGGCTCTGTTTGGGGAGTGCAGAGTTGGGTGTAGGAGGGAGGCTGGCTGTGTTTCTGTGAGCTGTGACTACAGGCAGTCCCCGGGTTACGTACAAGATAGGGACTGTAGGTTTGTTCTTAAGTTGAATCTGTATGTAAGTCGGAACTGGCGTCCAGATTCAGCTGCTGCTGAAACTGACCAGCGGCTGACTACAGGAAGCCCGAGGCAGAGTTGCTCTGCCCCTGGCTT